CATGGCATTTTTGGTTGAAAGGTGATGCCAGCAAGCCATTGAGATGATATGATTATGTTAAGATTTGCATTCATATGGATATTGGACTCCTGCTGTTCACCTTGGCCTGCTACAGGACTCCTGGAGAGTTCCCATTGGTTGGGGAAGTGCGGTAGGAGGGAATTCCGGAGGAGGGAGTTCCTGTTGGGACCTGGGAGAAGCTGCGTGGGTTGGTAGGCAATCGGGTCGGTCGGCAATCTTCCCGGGAGCGTACAGGGCATTGGCTGCAGTTTCAAAAATAAAGTTTGTTCCTGCTTGAGTGGCTCGTGATTTTGTGCCCAGCCAGACTGCGGCACTGGTCTAATCTCTGAGAAACTTACCATTAATCAAGAAGGTGATATATGTTCAAGAAAACGGATTAAGTGCCAGCAAATGGCATAGAGTTTAAAAGATCACAGATATACAAATGGAATAGAAAAAGATATATTTGAGTTTGAACTTGAATGTTAGATATAATATAATGAGTTGAAAGGAAAGTGTGTATTCTTTGTGTGGCAAAACAGGAGTTGAAAGTGAGGGTACAATAAAACAAGCATGAACAAAATTATAAAGTCACATGATTTCTGTGAGAATGATTGACTGCTCTGTAACAAAATTTGGGTGCTGAGGAGCTGTGTTTAAATACAATTTTTAAAAAAGAGAAGCAATGTATCAATGGCACCTTGACTGCCAAGTCACCTTTGGACATGTTTTCTTGGACTCATTTCTAAAGTATATCAGCATGTGCTAAGTGAGGGGAGATGGGAAATTTGCTTATGTAAATTTGGAAAATGTGAGGTAAATCCTAATTAGACAAGTTTGCTTCCTGTGATATTTCTCATGAGCTTTCAGAACCAAAAAGGGGAAATCATGTGCATTTCCCAAAAATTTTACCACTGTTTTCTTTACCCATTTATTCCCTCTTCTAGGTACATGTTATAAGTGCTTTTTGACAGTAGAGTGTCTCAAAGAGCATTAAGAATCAGAAATGATATGGTAAAAGTATTGATTTGGGGATAATAAAAATATATGGTGGTGTTGGGTAAGAGAGACTAATGACCCCAGCAGTATGGGATAATCAGAAGATGTTTGAAATGCCAAGTGAATGGTGGAGATTAATAATGTTGCTGGAAGATAGAAAGTAGGTGAGTTCATCTTTACTTCTAATTACAGCTTAGAGGTGAAGTAAGCAGTACATGGAATGTGAGTTAAAACCAGAGTGTAATGTATATACAGGTGGAGGCACAATCTGTTAATCTGTTAGGATGAGCTCCCTGAAAGAGACTAAGATTAGATGATTTATAGTCTTCACTGAAACACATTTATTAAAAACTCTTATTTATTTATTTACTTATTTATTTATTTTGAAGTAATGGGGGAGAAAGGTGAACAAAAGAAGAAATTTGGATAGTATACTCCGAGAGAGAGAGAGAGAGAGAGAGAGAGAGAGAGAGAGAGAGAAAGAGAGAGAGAGAGAAAGAATATGAATATGAGCAAAGTTCTTATTGTTAAAAGCCCCTTGGTTTTTTTGACTGGAAATTCACTAATATTTTTGTAAAGTTTAAAAATTTTGAGAATGAAGATGAACATTTGCAGTCAGGTAGTAACTGAGAAGTGAGAAAATGAATGAGAAGGGGTAAATGTTGACCCTATCAGAGGGAGAGGGTCTTATTGGAGACCTAGAGTCATGGATCAAATGGGAACCTGGATATATTTGGATCAGTTGATTACAGGAAACAGCAATTATATCCCTTACTCAGAGACACGAAAATCAGTGAGAAGGATTATGAAAAGGCAGAGAAAATGAAAACTGATGCAAAGGTGAAACCTGATAGCATGATTCCAAGGGTACATCTTCTTGATAAGGTGGTGTCTTATGAAAATTTTCACCTCTTGTTCTGAAGAATGTGGTAAAGAATCAGAAGATATCAGACAAAATTTCCAAGAAGTAAGTGTGTCCCAATCAGGGATTGGAGAGTACATTATTTTATTCTTGCTACATAGCAAATGACCACATATTTAGAAGCTCAAGACAACTTCCATTTTTTAGTGCATAGCTTTATTGATCAGAAGTCTGAGTTGGCTCATTGCTCAGAACTTGACAAGGCGAAACTCAAGTTTTCAGCCACAATTTGGAGGTTCTGAAAGGACATCCACTTCTAGGATTAAGTAGGCAGTAGAGAGAACACAGTTATAGGGCTGAGGGCCTCATTTCCTTGCTGTTGGCATGGCAGATCACTCCACTTTCAGCTGCTAAAGGACACTAGAAGTCCAATTCCTTGCCACAGGAACCTTAATAGGCTCCCACAGCATCCTAACATATACCAACAAATAGTTTCCTTGCATTCAATGTCCCTGACCTTCCATACTTCAAATGTTTTTTGACTCTGGTGATAGCCAGAGAAATCTTCACCTTTTAAAGAACTCATGTGATTATATGAATCCATCCCTGAGAAATCTTGTTTATGGTACAAGACCAACTGATTACTGACATTAATAACATTTGAAACATTTCTTTGGATATGTAAGGTAGTAGGCATGAAAGTGACATCATATGTTCAGTCCCAAGGATTAGAGTAGGAAGTCTTGGGGTCAGTTTTACAATTGTGCTCAGCACAGATAGTTTGAGTTGAAATATAGTTTTATACAGTCCTAAATCTTAAAAGTTTGAGGTCCTTAAGTATTTCCTACAATTTCACTCTAGAGAAATATAGATAACATAATAAATGCTTTTTTAAAAAGTCCCTATTATTTTGTATCAGTCACTACAAATAAGTGAATAATTCTCTGACAATGAATATATTCAAACATTTTCAAATGAATCTTATTTCCTAATATAGTAACTTTTGTTTTATATGGACAATTTTTCAGTTTGAATTTTTTAGTTTAAATTCGTTGGGTTGTGGCCTTGTGATTTATACATTGTTTATATTGTTAAGGAGATTTCACCAGGATTCTGGTAAAGATCCCAGTAAAAATACTAGCAGAAATCTTAGGGAAATATGGTTGATATGGAAAATGTTAGAAAAAGATGTCAGGGTCAGAAAGGGAGCAGGACCCTACCAGAGAAGTTGGCTTTTGTTATACTTGTCAGATAATACTTTAAAAAATATAATGTGAGTTGTGTAATTGGATTCTTTATCAAATAATTCTTTCAAGTAATGTGTTCTGGGTGTTCAAATAATATTGTAATAGACTATATGATAAAGTAGATAATAATAACCAACATGAATTATTTTTAATGTGCTGACACACTAAGTATTTGCAAAGTGCTTTACATAAGTTTTTCTCACACTATGAATGTGGCATACATAAATTCATGTCCTTACTTTAGATATAAGTAAATTGAATTTTTAATTAAGTTATCCCAATCCAATGTGTCTTGGTTAGCGTATGTCAGAATCAGGATTCATATGTAAGTAGGTTGGACCTCAGAGTCCAATCCCTTTGTGAATATACTAAATGCATGATGAATGGCATGATAAATGGTGTAAAATAAAACCATTTGTACTTACACTTCTTTTTCAGATTTTAATTTTTATATGGTTTGTTGCATATTTATGTTTCCCCATTGCCATGGACCTGCCCTTCTTTTCTAGGAAATAGAATACATATACATCAGCACATTAAACATAGTAAAGAAGGTTTCTTAGATGTAATTTACTAAATTCATTTGATGTTGAAAGAAATCTTCTTTTAAATTTAACACATCTTACATAATTTTTTAAAAGTTTTGAAAAAAGTAAGAATTTAAACCAGTTGTTTTACATACCTTTAGAAAAACAAAATCTTAAAAAATGTAATAATTTAGAATTCATGACTTTTTTAATTTTGAAGTTTATGATTGTCAAAGTCCAGTTGATAAATATAAGTATTCTTTAAATGTTAAACATACTCATTTTAGATATGCTGAAGCTATTTCACTATTCTTCAACATGAAATATTTAATGTGGGTTGTGTAATTAGTATTTGCAAATTGATACTGTTTTTTTGGAAAATCACAGAAGTCACATCCTAAATCTTTCATGAAGTATCGTGAGAATCTAAATGTCCATTAAGTGGGCAGCAGAGGTATATATCATTCATAATATAGCACGTCCCTCTTGGACATATACTGGTTTATGTGTTCCCCAAAACTACCTTAGAGTAGAAAATGTCACATATTGGATTATTTTACTCAGTTTTAGCTTTAAGTGAAATATTCTATTATTTATAACATCACCTTTGTGAAAAGGAGTTCAGACACTTCCAATATTATTTAAAAATATTACCAGCACTCCTATGCTGCAGAGGAGAATGGCTATTCTATCTATTTTACTTATAAAGGTAAATGAAATCCTTAAGAACTGAGAAGTTAACTAAAATTCTTAAATACCTTGTAGAAATTGAAAACACTACCTGAATCGTTTGACCCAAATTCATTTCTGGGCCATAGACATTGGGCCTTATTTTTTATGTGAGAAAGTTTAAATAGAGATATTAATGCTTGTGTTCAAAATTTCGAATTCTTTAGATGAAATTATTTTCTAGAAAGATAATATTCTAACATTTGAGAAATTTTGGATAGTACAAAACTGTACACTATTACCAGCAATCACACTACAAGGGTGGTTGTGTCGTTTTGCAGTTTGCTTTACCATGCTTAAGCATTATTTTTCCAACAGCAAAAGATCCTCTGGCCAAACTACCCATAAGCAAAAAAAAAAAAAAAAAAAAAAACTAGTTTTATTTGTTTCCTAAAGCATTATCCAAAGACTTATCACAAAGTTATAGGCAGAGTATAGCTCTTTATGAATGTAAGTTTTTGCCCATTATTATGAATTCAGTTGTTTTAATATTTTGAAGATTTGACTTAGTAAGGTATCTATACCAAAATGGTGGATCCCTATAAGAATGGTTGTTATTTCTACCTAAGTTTAAGAATTGTGTTCTTAGAAGATGTGAATTTGCTAATAATAAATATTTTTGGTGTCTGCATTTAGTTGTTACAGGGTAGGTCACCCAAACCCAACAAGTGGGAGCTTATTCAGCTGGGCAGTGGTGGTGGCATGGTGGAGCAAGTCAGTGGAGACTGTGATGATGAGGATGGTTGCGGAGGATCGGGGAGTGGAGAAGTGAAGAGAACACTGAAAATCACCAACTGTAAGTGGATGATTACAGTACTGATTTTAAAGAATTGGTTCTGAAATATAATTAAGAACATTCATTATGATGATCATAAAAAATATATATAATATGTATATATATATAATATATACATAATAATAATAATAATGGCAAGTAATTCAGAAGCAGACAACAATAATTATAAATGAAAATGAGCTTTATTTGTAGTTATTTAGGACATGTATTCTTGGGGATTTTGTGTGTTTTTAACTAATGGCTTCAAATGGAAATTATATTTATCCATAAAAAACAATGAGTGATTATTAGTTCTGAGAATTAAAAATTTTAAAGTGGAATAGTTCTTAGACCATAATGGATATTAAATGCATATTGATAAGTAATGTGAAACCAGCATTGGTAAGTGCTGTACAATAATCAAATTGTGCATTTTTAAAGTGTTATTATGCTCATATGTACAGGTTTTTTTCTCTATTAGGTTTTCATTATAAACAAAATACAAATAAATTGGTAAACATATGGTTAGTTCTATTTAAAAACAACTTGGATTTAACTCTTTTGCACTTTTCCAAAAATCTCACCAAGTGAGATCACTTTGTTTAATTGCATGAATTTAAAGCCATTTCTGGTATCGCTAGACAGGTTACTACCACAGAAAAATATAACTCTCGAGTAACAAAAAGGAAAATAAGAAAGGAAAAGAAAAACAACCAAATGGATTTCTCTTTCTGATCTTCACATAAAAGAAGAAGAATATAGGCTCTATGCCTTCCATTGTTATGTGCCTACAAAAGCTCTTATGAACAAGACAACCAGAGTGACCACCTGAGAAATAAATGTCAAGGTACCCAGAGCAGCTGGCTTTCAACCATTCATTTAACTCTGATTCTACCAAATATGAAGGTAAAGCCATCTGATGGCACATACTGCCCCACTTGGAGGTTGGCAAGGAACCCTCCAAATCACACAGAGGTGCTTTGCACCTGTTTAGACATGTTCTATGGTGAAAGAAGACTTGGTTCACTTTTCAGTTCTGTTGTAGGGAATTAAGAACACTACAAATGCTTCATGCATCCATTCTTCATTCTTCTACAATGTAGTTTTATAAGCCAAATATATTGGTTAAAGAAATGGAAACCAAATAGAGATGTAAAATTAAAATACAATTAATGTAAAGGTATTTTATTTGACATAATAGTTTTATTTACCATACAAGGTAAATAAATAGGAGTTAGTGTACTTGAGCAAGATTTGAACAAAAGACCATGAAGTGCTTACTGCAAATCAAGTATCTATATTTATATGTAGAGATAAGGATATGTCTTCTTGTAATTGGTGTTAACACAATTAGTCACAGTCCTTTTATATTTTTTAAGAAAAAAACAAGGAAAATAAAAGGTTTGCTCTAGGAAAAAATCATTTTTGCTTAAAGTTAATATGTTCTCCACTGTATTTAGGAATTTTGACACTTATCTATTAGGGTTATATTTAATTCAATAATATTTTATTCTCATCTTTCTACAATATTTACATACATTATAATCTTATTGTTATTTAAATGCTGCAGGACTTTATGACATCAAAATTATTACAAGAAAAAGAGTACAGGTTAAAATTTCATCTATAATGTGTGTGTGTGTGTGTGTGTGTGTATGCACGCTTCTGTGGAGTTTGTATCTGTATGGGGTTTTTCACTTCCTGAAGTTACTTATAAGCTCAAGGACTTGTTATAAATAACTTTTTTTGGTTTGTTTCATAAGAGAAAAAGAGTGAAGGATATTCAGCTAACGTTTTCTCAGGAAACTATACTTGTCAAGATGGCAAGAATTTTTTTTTAACTTCCAAAATCCTAGTTTCAATTACTGTTGAAATAGACAGGTATGATAAAGCAACTACCCATCAGAATTGGGGAGATTAAGATACAGATGATTTTCAGCAACTCCAGGCAAACATCCTTTCAAAATCCACATCTGCTTGCTCTAAGTGGGTTACCCATTATGTTTCTAAGAGCTTATAACTGTTGCTTTTCAATTTTTAATAAGTGGCTAGGAAACCACTGTAGATAGAATGCTGAAATAAAGAAGGATAAGAAAGCTACCAAAATGTAGGTCCCATTTCTATTTTTATAAAAGACTGTAATATTTTTCCTGTTTGGGCTGGTAGGATACATTGGTAAAGCAAGTAAAGATGTCATTTCAGATGTTCTTAATATCTTACAGACATTGTACTCCATAAAGTTTACCAAGTGTTATATGGTTTAAGAAGTTAGAATGTGCCATTATTTCTTCCTTATACTTATGTTTATTTTTTATAAAATGTAATATAAATATAAGTTCATTTTTTACCTCAAAAAGTCTTATTAGGAATAACATCTGATTAGGAATTAAAAGAAACAAAAGTCTGATATGAAATTATGACTTACCTATCAGGGTTATATTCAATTCCATGATCTTTTATTTTCATCATATCTAGAATATTTACATGCACTATAATTTCATTGTCAGACTTTATATATCTGATTAGGAATTAAGTCTGATTTTATATAAATATATATATATATTTACACATATATATACACACAAATAGATATGCATGTACATATATATATATATATATATATATATATATTTTAATATATTTATTTTTTTAGTTATAGGTGGACACAATATCTTTATTTTATTTTATGTGGTGCTAAGGATTGAACCCAGTGACTCATGCAGGCTAGGTGAACACCGTAACTCTGAGCCACAGCCCAAGCCCAGTTTTTAAAGGAATAATACTACTATTGTGTCCTATAAATTCAATGACTCTGCTCCATTTATGCTAATATACAAGTTGATAAATATTTTCCTAATTACTCTTGAACTGATTTTTTTTATGTTTCTGTTCATGTTTTTTTTTTCATGCAACACAGGGGTCTATAAACTCAGTGTAGTATTTATTTTGGCAAAGTTTTACCACTAAAATATTTATGCAACTTTTAGTTGTCATTTTATTTTCGTTAATTATTTAACATTTTTTTGAAAATATAAAAACTATCTGCACTTGTAATCCTACCTGTAGCCTATTATAAAGTATGAATTAATATGTTTCTTACAGAAATAAGCCACCTATACTATGTAGTTTTCATTGTTAGGAAATGTAAAAATATTTTCCTATTTCAGTAAAGTGGCTTAAAATCTCAGTATTTAGGAAATGTTTTCTATGTTTTATAATATTTAATTTGCTCTTTACATAGATATGGATCTTTAATTAATACCCTGAAATTTCAGGATTGGCATGACTCTGAACCTTCACTTTGCTCCCTGGCCAACATACCTGATATCTGCCACTGTAGCTACTTCATGTAGGTTGTAAACACCAATGGAAAAAATAAGTTCTCTTCTTTTAGGAATGCAGAACAAACCAAATATCATTAAAATCAATACCTCTTTAACAGTGTAACTACTATTCTAATGCCTCTAAATTCCCATAACTTCAAATGTGGAAAAAATCAAACCAGAGTGCTACTAAAGATCAAATATAGTTAAAATATACCACATATGATTTTGAACATCTGTGGTAGCATTTCCAACAATTCTTATGTGATATTATGATTTAAATTGTAATACCTTTGCTGTAAAACCATATATCACCCATGAGTAATATTTTTTTGCAAATTCATTTTAATAAGGTGGTTCATAGAAATAATCTCAGGTGAAATGAGGTCATAAATTCATTCAGATGCCAGATGCTAAAAAAGCTTATTTTAAGTCTTCAAATTATTTTACATAACTAATTTCTATCTGTATATTCATCATTATTTTTTTACAAATTTTTTTAAACTTTATTATTTATTTATTATTTGTATGTGGTGCTGAGGATCGAACCCAGGGCCTTGCACGTGCGAGGTGAGCACTCTACCACTGAACCACAACCCCAGCCCTTTCATCATTATTTTTATATGATATTGTATGTGGTGTAATTTAGCAGGTTTTTTTTTTAAAGTTTTACTTCCACTGAAAGTCCTATAAATGACATCAAAGTTTGCTCAGTGTGTGCCATTGATGTTTTCCCTTGTGGTGGCATCAGAGTCCCTGCAGGGCAGTCATAATATGAGTTCACATAGACAAGGGCATTCAGAGTACCAGAGCAGCATTCTGACCCCTTGGCCCTGTGCAGTGGTCTCCTACCTATCCATCCAAGATCTTTCTTTAGAAGGACTGTGGATCTTCATGCTCTCTTCTTATGTCCTATGCTGAGGTTTTCCTCCTATTCCTCATCATCCCAAACACTAAATATTTGAACAACCTAGAATTCAGTTCTCAGGCTTTTTATTAGCTTGCTTTACAATTGTCCCTTGTTCCACAGACTTCTTACTCAGTCATAATAACAATAATAATAAGATTCCCTGCCACTCATAGTACTATCCAGTTCATAAGCATTTACCAAGGTGACATTTCAGGAAGTAGAATTACTGAGCCAAAGTATTCAACTTAAATAAGATTAATTTAGAAATAGTAGGATAATACATTGGAATATTAAATTGCTAAATCTTGAAATAATTCTTGGTAGATATTCTATAATGTAAAATAAGTTGGGCTATTATTTATATTGTGCTCTGCATTCTCACTTAGCAACCTCATATTAGTCTTTAGCAAATGAGTCTATATCCTGATACTAAGAATGACCTTGGTAGGAAATATTGTATTCAATATCTTTTCCATGTGCACAGTAAAGTAAAAATAACCCTTTGTTGACTATTAAAGAATAAAGGATGCTGATTTATTTGTAATGCAGGATTATAGAGTGAGTGAAAAAATCTCGGGTTTCTTACACTTATTTTACCAAAAATCACCTTTTCCTCAAAATCTCAGCTAGGCATGTAGGTTTGGGAGAGCTAAAAAATACGACTTTACTTTTCTTTCCAGAAATACTAAACTATACATTTGTATACATTGAGCTTATTATGTGTTTACTTTATCCATTCATACAAACATAAATCATATTTATAGGGTTATTTAGATTAAAATTTTTGTGGCATATTGAAAATAATCTTGAATAATGGCTGTGCACATTGGTCTACATTTTACAAGTGTCTCATACTGAAGGATCAGATAGAACTCTGAATGATAAAAACTACAGAAATATTCACAAAGACATACTTCTTGATCTTGATCTTGTTCAATGTTCAAAATTGTAAATACTTTGATTTTTACTAACTAGGGAAACTTCTACGATACTGATGAAAATTATACCAAAGAAAAATGAAATGTATATCTAAGATAAATTGCATTTTAATTAATATGTGATCACTATGAATATAATATTCTGATTATACATTTCCATTTTGATTTATAAATAATTGACACTTGTCTTAGCTGTTTGCTATTTTTTTAAACATGATTGTGTGTAATGGAATATGGGTATCTAATGAATCACGTAAAAATCATCTTTAATTCTCTTGAAAATGTATATATTGCATTCACAGATTTAAGAAATAGAATTGAAATAAAGGCATTTGTCCTTGAATGCCTTAGTGTTGATTTTCATTGCATTGACTTATACTGATGTTGAATCACTGAGGTGAAAAGGGAAAACTTATTAATTAAAATTTAAAGAAGCCTCCTACCTTGCAGCCCAGATCAACTAGCAATTCTGCAGTGTCTCATAACTAAATCTGTATCACACCAGAAGACATAAAATAATGTTATCATCTTTTTTGAACAGCATAGTGCTATGTTGATATGACCAACAAAAGAAATAAAAAATTAAAATCCCAAGAAAATATCAGATACATTTTATCATGATTTGACTGTCATGATAGCTGTCAACAAAAATCATAAACAAACCCATATATCATTCCATTGAAAATAAATAGTACAGATATTGAAATTGTAATATTCTCTCTTAGGATTAATTAATAAAGTATACCATCTAGGAAAGTTTTAGTATACCTTCAGCTCTTTAACGACTTCTTTATCTCTATGTAGAAAGAGTGATTTTCATATAGTGATTTTCATATATCTCTGGTCCCAGAGCTTCTCAAAACTTCTTATATATACAAGTTACTTGGGTATCCCATTACAAAGTAAAGCAGGACGGAGTTAGGACATTTCTTATGATCAGATGATGCTGTTGCTTGTAGTCCAAGGAATGCATTATAAGGAGCAAAAATTTATATCTTTATTTACTACAGTTCTTCTCTATTTATATCTCCAAAATAAGTCTCTAGTAAAAAAATAAACTTTTAAAGATTATAGCTACAATTTTACATTATTATTGCAAAAGAGCATCATATGAATGAGAACATTAGGAAACAGTACAACTGAGCCAATAATGGTGGCTTGTCCTATATGAATTTTGAAGTCCACCTCAGTTTTATTTTTGAGCGGTACATTTACTTCCTAACACTGAAAGAGAGCTATTTTCATCTTTCCTTGGGATAGGAAGTCCTCAGGTTACCCTTGCTTCCATTTTGAATCAGTACCTCTGGTTTCTCAGCAGAAATGCTTCCCATTTATCACCTCCTCCAGGTTGTGATGAACACTGAAGACATAACTTTCACAATCCCCTATATCACATTAAATACCAGAGGAGATAAATCAAAAGTTTTATGTGTACTCAAGGAAAGGAGAGCGACTATCCAAATGGGGAAGTCATAAAATACTTTGTGAAGGAGACAGACAAAGGGCAATCTGGAAACAGACAAACAGATTGTGACTGCAATATTTATGAGGAAGTGGCACATGAGAGGGTGGACTTATGATTTGATTTCAGGAACTGATGATGGAAAGGAGAAGGCATCCTGGGAAAAGCAAGTATCATTATTATCTCAGGATTCTTCTAGTGCCTTCCTTAGGAAGGTCTTTTGGAAAAACGATGCACAAGTCCTTTCAAGGTGAGAGGGTGCATGCCTTTATATTTGAAAGTCAATTTTGGTGGCACAAGATGTTGGTTTTCATTCTCTTTCCTTGCATTTGTAAGTGAGGTTTCTCTGCTTTGGCATTACTTCTAGGTTGCCATATATTTTTAAATGAATTTCTATTTTTTTTTTTTTAATTTGGGGGATCTCTAACTTCTTTTCTGAGTTTTTCTAATTCTGATTTATGTTGTTATTTGCTGTTGTATTCTTTACTGACTTTTAGCTCACTTGGAAATTGTATTTTTTCGAATATACTTTTCTGGTGTACTTTTCATTGTTTGTAGGAATTATCACAGAATATGCTGATTCCTTAAGAATGCTTTTTGTGGTATTTTATCTTGATGATTTTCTGCTCTTTATTTTTGTGTTAATTTAAATTTTCCATTTTTATTATTTGTTTTAATTAGTTATACATGACAGTAGAATGCACTTATATACTTTGATGTATTATACATAGATGGGATATAATTTCTCCTTTTTTTGAGTACACATATTGTAGAGTCACATTGATCATACAGTCACATACATACATACAATAATAATGTCTGTTTCATTCTACTATTAAGATTTGACTCATAGATTTTCTAAAGTTCTGATATT